AGATAAAGCTATATAGCTTGACCTCAGACACATCCAGAGAAGTTCCCTAGAGCTGTCCATTCATGTAGTCTAAGGGATCGGACCAAAGAGACATGTTTTGAGAAGGCCAGTGGACACAGAGAGACTTTCTGGCCACCCAGGGCTGCAGAAGGGACACGAGAGCTTCTGGTCAGAGGCAGAGTCTGAGACAGGGATTCAGGACTTGTGGCTCACGGAGGAAGACTGCTTCAAGTTAGATCTAAAAGAGAGAGGGACAGAGACGGGGAGGGACAGCAGGCAGATGTTTTCAGATATGGGCTATTGGATAAAACACAGGATGTCCAGATGAATTTGTATTGTAAATAGACAACAATTTAAATACTGTAATTGTGATCCAGGCATTGCTCAGGACATACCTCTACTAAAAATGCTCACTGTTTGTCTGGAATGTAAATTTTACTGAGGATTTAGTAGCTTTAACTCCTGAATTCTGTGACCCGTCCCAGGTTGGTCAACTGGTTCATTTTGCCAAAACTGAACGTGATCTGGGGATGTGGGACATTTAGTGGTAAAATGGAAATTTAAGCTGACATTGTGTTGTATCTGGGGCAAGTCAGCTTTGTCTAGGGCTTGTGGAAGCATGGAGGTGGGATTGACATTATAGAGACTAAAACTCCACAATGAGTGTCCCTTTCTGAGGAGAGGAGCCTGTGACACAGCCCATGATCCTGGCAGTAGCTGGGGTTTGGGGCAGGAAGAGGGATACTGGCCTCCTGAGAGTGTTCTCTGGAGGAAGTGGGCAGCTGTGAGTCACTAGAAGGAAAGAGGGGATACTGCCACTGGGGATGGGTGCACGGGTCACTATCAGAGAGCTCCCCCAGCATCTGCAACACTCTTATGTCCATTCAGCCCAGAGGTCCGCTCCACCCGCAGAAATGGAAGCCAAGCCTTGTACCGCCAGCCCAACGGGCAGCCCTGAGTCAGCTGTTGCACGGTATCCGTGGCACAAGCCAGCCTGGTGTGGCTATGTGTCTACAGGGTCGCAAAGAGCCGAGAGCGCAGCAGACTGCTCTCACTTAGGAGGGAGACCTAGACTTGATTAAACACAGGGGGTAGTATCTGAACCTGACCTCAAATAGAGATGAACTGGGAGTGGGGGGCTGATTTGAGGAGTGGAAAATGTGTGCCTAAAGCATGGAGCTCAAGCCCTCCAAGAAGAAGTTCCATGGACTTTAGTTCCTCTCCATCAAACTGGCCCCGTGGCGGGTGAGCACAGACCTTGCCTAACGGTAGACTCAACTCCAGGGTGGGTTTTGTCTGTACTGACGAAGCACTTAGTCCCTGCAAAGTGCTGATGATTTACTTTCTGATGGAAGCCAATGCTTTGGAAAACTGCTGGCGGCCCCGCTGACCTGGGGATGCCCGGGCACCTGGGGAACGTCCCAGCTCCGGGGTGGCGGGGTGGGGGGGGGGGAGTCCTGTCACTGGGTCCTGGCCACGATCCATGGGAAGACAAGCTTCCTTCTCACCTTCCCAGCATATCCTGAAACCAGAAGCCCCGTGACACCAGCTCTCCTTTCAGGGCTCTGGGCTTTCTGCTCTGACTGAGGCGGGACACCCACACTGCCGAGAAGCCTGAGAAGCCACTGGGACAAAGGTAGAGGGGGGTCAGCTGGGGAGAGTATGCGACTTATCCCAAATCAGTGTCCCCGTTTCTCGGGTGAATACAGCTCATCGCTGCTAAGGGTGTCAGGGCCAGGGTGCCTCTATTTTAACCACTTCGTTGCTGTATAACTTTTGACAGGTCCCTCGGTTTCTGGAGCCCCCATTCATTATCCGCACTAATGACAGAAACATCGGCATGAATGACTTACTGCCTTGTTGCCTTTGCCAGCCTATAACGTACCCTTGGGGACATGGCTCAGTGAGTAAGGTGCTCGCTGGGCAAGCATGAGGACCCAAGTGTCTGTCCCCAGCATCCACATAGAAAGCAGGGCTTGGTGGCAGACATCTATAACCCCAGTGCTGAGGGGCCACAGAGACTTGTGGATGCCCTCAAGGGGGCTTGGCCAGCCAGTCAGGCAGAAAGTATGATCCCCAGATCCAATAAGAGCGGCTGCCTCAGACAATAGGGGGAGAGCCGTTGAGGGGGGCGCCTGATGTCAACTTCTGGTCTTCACATGTACACATGTGGGTGAGTACACCCAAGCATCCCTACACACACTCACATGAATTTTCATTTCAATATCGCTGCAAGTCGGGAAGGGGGCAGGTGGGTAGGCAAGCAGTGTTAGTATCTTTATATTATTTTCCTGTTTGAGAATGTCACACATGCATATAATGCCTTTTGATCAAATCCACTCCCCCTGCATCCCCTTCAACTTCCCCCTTATCTCCTTGCATCTCCAGAAGAAATGGGATGAAATATAAGCAGTGTGGCTTGTCCCAGTGGTACGGCTGCTGGGCTCTGAACTCTGGGACACTAGCAGATAATATCTCTTATCAGTGTCTCCAGGAAATGTCTGAGCCTCAGCAATTTTCAAGTCTTGATTTTGGGCACTCTGGGGGCATTTGGTTTCCACATGTTTTTTGGCACCTATGGAACCCAGTTGGAGGGAGAGGTGGGGACAGGAAGCGCTAACATCGGCTCTGAATTCTGTCTCCACAACCTAGGTTACTCATCTCCATGCGCTTTGCTCTTAGAAATGTAATCTGCACATTTTATGTTGAAGCCACAGACCAGATGGATTATTGGGGAGCAAGACTCGGCCACAAGGGTTTTCTCTTCTCTGGGACCCTAGGGTCTGTCAGGCTTCCTACATGCCTTTGGATTCATCTTACATCGTCACTGCTCACCATTTGGGGAAGCTGACCCAAAAGTGTTGCCAGAGTACTGGGGTGGAAAAAGTGGCTCCGGACTGGGGACAGGGACAGGGGAGCACAGAAAACCCAGCTCTCACTGGGATGGGGTGGCAGCTGTGTGACCTGGGGCCAGCATGCAGTTTGTACCCAGAGATTTCAGTCTCCGCATAGCCAGCTAAATGGACGAGGAAGAGTCACCGGGCCTCTGTGTGGGCTCAGTGTGTGCTCCTGAAACCTAGGTGTGGGCAGGATCACTCCACAGCACCACTGAAGGAGTTCTGGTGTCCGCAGTGCCCTTCAGGGCTCGGCCACTGAAAGCGACCCAAGGTGATCCCCCTTCTGGCAAGTGACTTATATGGCTAGAAAGCATGAAATTCTGCTTCATCAAACCAAACAGAAGAACTCTGTTGTCTTAGGGAGAGCTGAGCAAGGGAGCTTTTAAAAGGGGGCTGGTTCTGTGAAAGATACCTGACTATTTCCTTCTGACCTTGTTAACTATCTCTTCCGTTCACACACGTGCACACACACACACACACAAATACAGAGAGAGACAGACACATACACATACAGAGGCAGACACACATACACACACACACACACACACACACAGAGAGAGAGAGAGAGAGAGAGAGAGAGAGAGAGAGAGAGAGAGAGAGAGAGAGAGAGAGAGGAGAACAGGAGTGACATAATGCAAAAAGCTAGTCAGTGACAGCTTGGTGGATCCATGCAGGTTTAGCCTGGAGACAGCAGGCCACCATGGAGCTTCCAGAGGCTGTAGCCTGTGCCCAGGCCCCAGCAGGCACTGACATAGACTCCAGACCAATGGACCAAGATCTTGGCCACACCGGCCTCATTTTCCATGAAGACCACGACCTGAAGGACTGTGGCAACACAGCCTGCCAAAGACTTCAGTGTGATTTCCTCTGGGGAAAAGGAAGGAAGGAAACTGGGGAACGGAAGAAAAGAGAGAAGGCAAGGAAAGCACTGGGGAGAAGAAGGGAAGGAGAGAGAAGGAGAGAGACCCGGCGCAAGTGTGAAATCGGAATGGCAGACTGGGGCTGGTGAGACGCATGTGAGCAGAGTCTGACGTGGGCAACCCCTACAAATAGACCTTCTGTTAAAAATAGCCTTTGTCTAAATGTGGAAAGGGTGTAAATATAGTAGCGGTTTCGGCTTACTACGGAGCCGCCCCAGCTCCAAGTAACAGAGGCTTATTATAGGATGTGTGCGTCAGCAGGGAGGGGAGGGCCAGGGCAGGGAAGGGAGGGCCGGGAGTGAGGGGGCAGCGGGACTGGCTGGGGTACAGTACCTGCGCCAGGCCCGGGTTAGCCAGCCAGCACTATGGCTCTGGGGCAGGGACTTCTGAAATGCTTGCTCAGAGGTCCATGGGGGCAGGAAACCAACCCGAGTGGGGAAGGCAGGCAGGCAGCAAGGGATGGCTGGGCCGAAAGAAAGACTCTGGTCGGGATTGTCTTGGGCATCCACCCTGCTTTCTCTTTCTTGTCTGAGTCACTAGGCTGTGTCTACCAGACAGGAGGCTAAGGCTCAGGAACACGGAAAGTAGCACGTTTTCCCAGGAACACCCCCCCCCCCCCCCAACACACACAGCACCAACCTCTAGACAGCAGCCTGTAGACAAGCCGGATTCTTCTGCCTTGAGTGCAGGAGAACAAGAGGCCTAAGGCCCATGAAAAACACTACTCCCACCCCCCGAACTTGATTCAAGTCTTGTTGAAAAGTCTGAGGGTTCAGCTGAGCCTGGGACAAGCCTGCATCTCAGCACTTGGGAAGTAGAGGCAGGGGGATTGGAGCCCAGGCTCTACCTCAGCTGTGTACTGAGTTTGTGGCCAACCTGGGCTACATGAGAGATCCTGTCTCCAACAAAGCAAGACAGTGCCATCCAGAGTGTGGTGGGTAAGGGAGCTTGCTGTGCAAGCTTGGTGATCTAAGTTTGATTCCCAGAACCCATGTTAATGTGGAAGGAGAGAACCATTGCATGTGTTTTCCTATACATAACACACACACACACACACACACACACACACACACACACATGCTCACGACACACACATGCTCACACACACGCTCACGCACACGCTCATGCACACACACCACATACATGCACGTGCACACACACCACACACGCGCACGCACACACACACACACACACACACACTTAAAAAATTAAAGCAGAAGCACAAAGCCTGAGGTCCAGTGTTGCAGTCTTCAGCCTCCACCCAGCATGGTGCAGAGCTCCTGACTTGGACTGCTAGAGCTTCTGAGCTTGGACCAGCACAGTGGCTCAGTGGGCAAAGGAGCTTGTCGCCAAACCCTGACAACTTGAGTCCAGTCTCAGGGATCTAAGTGGGAGAAAAAGAAGTAACTTGTGAAAGTTGCCCTCTGAACTTTACATACACCATAGTATGCATGTTTACACACACACACACACACACACACACACACGCAAATAATTGTAAAAAAGATTAAATTATTCAGTGAGGCTCCTTGTTCTCTCCTTTCTTGACATACAGTCAAGGGGCATTGATGGTATGGGAGCCAGGACCTGCTTCTGGTTGCTATCTCCTACCTGACCTCTGAGAATCCATTATCAGCAGGATCTCTCATCCTTTATCTAATGGCACCTCTTTGCAGTCCCTAGCATGTGGTCATGCATAAATCACACAGGTACACACATAGCCCAATACATATAACAACATACACACAAACATTTTCCATTCCAGCCACCTCCTCCAGTCCTGGATTCTCCCCCACCTTGACCTTGCTCCTACTGGGTTCCTCCACGTGCCTTGGCCTTGCCCCTGGGATCTTAGGTGAAACCTGACTCTTTCAGGTGACTTTTGGCTTTTCCTAGACACAACTGGAACTTCACTTGGGTGCTGCCCCCACAAACCAGCCTGGTAAAAAGCACAGCGATTTAGCTCTGGGCTGGAACGGAAGACTGGTTCCTTCAATACGTCCCATCTTCCCCCCTGACCCAGTCTACTACAGTAGAGCTTTGGAGATTAGCCAGGTGGCAGATCTGGACACTCCACCTGCCACACAGGTCCCCGAGGATGTCCTAGAAAACACTTGCCACCTTAACAGCTCGAGATCTCCAGACACTTCTGATTAACAGGTCTCTGGTGAGCACATAATGGTTTTCTTCCCCCAAATTCTTAAAAAGAAGAGAAAGGCCTGAATGGCAGTCAGCACTGGCAGAAGCTGGCCTCTTCATTGTGAAGTGAGGAAGGAGACTGAAAAAGGAAATGGGAAGAAAGCAGATACGCCGATAGCCATGCTGGAGCGCATCCAGGTAAGTCTACCTGTCCTGGCCCCAAGTGTCCCTGTCCTAAGCTTGGCTGGTCCTTGGCTCACCACATTCAGCACAGCAAATGGAAGGCCCCCAAAGCAGGCTATGGGTCAGATGGTATCTTCTGTCCAGAGAAGCAGATCATGATGGCGAGAAGGAGTTTTGGTGCCCAGAGCCCAGCTCTCACCTCCGTTCTGCTCCCCGTTCATGGAGTAAACTTGAGTGAGTCTCACCTCTTGGAAACTGGGCACTTCTGATCACTCTGATGAGGGCCCAAATCAAACGTGGTCACTTACAGTGATTTTAGGTAGTGGGCCTATCGTGACAAATGCAGACTGAAAGACTCTAAGACTATTCCTTCAGACTGGTTCTTTAGGTTTCCAGGAAGCAAGCAAGGAAAAATGATTTACAAGGCTCAAATCTTGAGGGGAGATTAAAACACACACACACACACACACACACACACACACACACACACACACACACGCACGCACGCACGCACGCAGAGAGACCCATAAATACTAATCAACCAACTAACCAACCAAACAACCCAAAACTAACAACAACAACAAAATAAATTCCACCCCACAACCAGGACACAGCAATTTCTATGAAGTAAAAAAAATGTCTTAGGAATGTGGATTCAGGGAAAGGCCAGATTGTCATTAGTTTGTACTAGGCGAGTCAGAGTGACTGAAATTTGTGCCACTGCATGCTATGTAGAAATGCCTTCATCTAGGATCCACCGCTCTTTCCTAGATGCCAATACCATGAGATATTTATGTAGAAGGTGGAGACTTCCGAGGACCATGCCCTTGGCCTGTGACTAATCTACGATGAACTTACACTTTTCCACGTATGTTCCCATCCCCATTTCAGTCTTATGTGTACATGTATGTGGTTTTGTGCAGTGAATGGTCATATGATAAGGTAGGGTTCAGGTTTTAGAGTAAAATACTCAAAGCCCGTGTCATCTGAGTGGCATGCTGGGGAAAAGAAAGTGAACAGCCAGAAGGATGATGCCTCCTTAGTCCCTACCCAACCCGCCTACCTATCTACCTCAAAGACAGCCATGGGCATCAGGATGCTCTGTGTGAAATGCTTGACCTAGTGGCAATGCTATCCCTCTATAATATCACAACATGCATGCACACAAGTAGAAATGCTGTCCTCTTCTACAGATATGACACAGGCAGATAAATATGCTCGCACCAACATCCAAATGCAGACCACACTCACACATGCATCTTTGCTTTATAATCTCATTGAGCTGGGGGAAATCTTGTTTTGCTGAGTTGGAGTTTTGAGGTCTTGCTGATTCTGAGTTCTATAATGTCCCTGGTCATGGAATTGTGGGTATGAGTTACTTACTGGCTTCTGAAGTGGCAACATAGGCTTATGGTCACATCCCTGAAGTGGCCATCCATGGAGATGTCAGGATGAAGTAGCCCAAGTGGCCAGGAGAAGATGCCTTAGAGATAGGCATCAGTTGACTGACAGCTGCCTAGGCTTGCACCTACAGTTGTGTTAAGGTCATATTTCTATTGGCTGCTCCCAGCTAATTAGTGACTGAGTGTGGCAGGGATACAAAGGCAAATTTATCTTTAAGAGACAGAGAATGTGTCTAATAGGCCATGATGGTCCAGCAACACTGACAGCCTCGCTGAAGCTTTCTAGCTGGCTGACCATCTAGGGTTGACCAAGCTTCCCTTCCTTCCTGTCCCAGTCATCTTTGTGTCAAGCCTCCATGTGTCTCTTGTCCTTTCCTGACCCCTCTCAGGTCTCTCTTCTCTTTGGGACAGGGCTTTCCCAGTGGGACACCTTGGAATGTTTAATACTGTGTTTCTATCTGTTTTAATGCCACAAGGCAACTTAAGTTCCAGCCCCCAGAAGGACACTGGATGATGCCTCCCGAGCACACAGGAGAAAGGGACAAAGAAGGGGAGCCCTGGTGTGCCCTGACCATGTGTGTTCTACTGTTGGAACCTTTTCAACCACAGGGTCAGCGGGTCCAGGACGTTTTGAAAAGGTGGGGGTGCAGGCTTGACAAGCTCTGTGAATAACCCGAGGTCATGGGATTTGAAAGACGTAGACCCTGGTTAAGAACGCAGACTTGCTGATACCCCAATCATCATACTCTGTGTGTCTGTCTCGTCTGTCCCCCTCTCTCTGTCTCTTCTGTGTGTGTGTGTGTGTGTGTGTGTGTCTGTCTGTCTTTCTCTCTCTCTCTCTCTCTCTCCCTGTCTGCTTGTGCTATCTACCGAACATCTTCTCAGTACCACCCACATGTATCTTTTGTCCATAGGTTCCCTAGGACAAGATGGCGCCCCTCATCAGTCTGCTTCACAGACAAGAAGCTGATACTAGAGCTAAGGCAGCTGCCGAAGGTCTGGGCAGGACCCAACTCAGAGCCACGCTGCTTAGTCTTGTTGTGTTATCTGAGCCTTTGCAAAAAAAAATATCCAAGTTGCTTGCTGCGGTGGTCCATAATTCACAATTCTGTTCACTTCTGGGAACATAAGCCCCAGAGCAGTGAAAGGCCTGACTATGCCCAGCATCCAGGGGCTGGAGCCCAGTGAGGCTGGGGAGAAGCCACGCTCACCCGTACTGGAAACCTAACACCAGTCTCCTTCCCTCTCGCTTGAAAGTGCTCTAGAGTTTCTGTGTTCACAATGCATCTCTTTGGAAGGCTGCCCTCCAAGGGTTGCCATGGTGACTATTTTGGTACTGCATGCTAGAAAAAGCTGAGGCACCTGCTGGTCACACCACCAAAACTTGTCTCTGAAAAATCAGCAGATGGCATTTGTCAGAAATCCCTATTTCTTGATTAATTTGGGAAAAGGGAGAGTGCGTGTGGCGGTGCCAATATCCTTGAACCTGAATGGACGGTCCATGTTGGTGTTGGGGGGAGATGGGCTGCAGCTGTGCTGAGACCCCCTTCCGCTGACATGCTGGGTCACTTAGGTTGACTTGGACTCTAGTAAAGGAGAAGAAGAGGAAGAACATGATTTTGCTTTCACATCAAAGGGGTTGGAATTTCAGGTTCTGTTCTGGAACGGCTACTTCTAGTAAATCCAATTGTAGCCTGAGCTAACCTGGAACTCACTATGTAGCCCAGACTGGCCTCAAACTCATGCAAACACTCTTGCTTGAGCCTCCCAAGTGCTGGGATCAAAGGCGTGGCCACCAGGTCTGATTCCCGTGAGTTCTTAAGTAGGCCTCAAATAAAAAATGGGTTTTATTTAAATCTCACTTCTGTCACCAACTAATTGTGTGACTAGCAATTTCCCCATCTCACCTGAACCTCAGTTTCCTCATGTGTAAAGCAGGGATGGTACTCTTTAATCTCACAAGAATTCACTAGGATTACTTAGAACTTTGTAGCTGGGCTTATGAAAACAGGCAGTTTTGCTGTCAGCCTAAGCAGTGATATTATGATCGGCACTCCTGGGTGCCCACTGTGCAGGGTACCTCTGTGATAACCGCCATCTTTCCAGGAACTTACCCACCTCTCACATGTGGCTCTCACATGTGACTCTCACATGTGGCTCTCAAGCACCTTGTCACGGTTCCAGTTCCTGTGCGTTCCCAGCCTTTCCTAGGACACTCTGACTCTGGTGTGGGCTGGCTCCTGAGGCAAGCATCCAGAACCACCAGTGGGATAGGCACCGCGAGGCTTCTGCAGATTCATGTGTTTCCACTCCCAACAATAGGTTCTCTATGGAGAATGAGGCTCACACTCCTCCAACAATTCGTCCCTATCATGAACACGGTAGATCAAGGCCGGCAGAGCACGGGCCACTGTTCTCCCCTCTCTGACTGTGTCAGGCATCGATGAGCAATTTCAGCACCCTTCTTACTGGGCTGGCGGGCTTACGTGCCTTCTAGAAGACAATGTGCAAGGCAGCTGGTAAACAGGAAAAAGAATCAAGGAATGGAACTTAACTGCTAATTCCACTGGCAGTGTTGCCTTTAACTAGTCGCGTGAGCTTGAGTGAATCCTGTCTCTCTCCGAGGTTCAGTGTCCGTACTTGAAATGTGCCGAGTTACTTCCTTCCATTATTTTTTTAAATAATAAAATGCAAGATAGTAAGATAAAGGAGAAACTGGCACACTGGAATTGGACAAAACAGTCAGAAGGAAAAGAGTCCAAGAGACAGCACAAGAGACAAGGACCCACGTGTCTGCACACCCAGGAGCCCCACAGAACCGTCAAACCGAGAGCTGTGATACACACCCCGAGGACCTGTGCAGACCTGTGCCTGCTGCTTCCGTCTCTGTGAGTTCCTGAGAGCTTTGTTCATGCTGATTTAGAGGGTCCGGTTTCCTTGGTGTCCCCCTTCCCTTTTTGCCTCCTCTTCTGCAGGGTTTCCTGAGCCCTGAGGAGAGGAGTTAATGGAGACATCCCATTCAGGGCTGAGTGTTCCAAGGTCTCTCAATCTGTATGCTGTCTGGCTGTGGTCTCTGCATTTGTTCCCATCTGCTGCAGAAGGAGGCTTCTCTGATGATGGCTGAGCAAGGAACCAGTCTGCTTCCCTGGCCAGAGTCTACTTCCGCCTAGCTTTAATTCTCTGCCATCTTACCAGCCAGCCCACCACCCCCACCACAGACACATTCTCTCCCATCAGGTGGGCTCCCAACACCGAATGCAAGCTCTGATCTGTTCCCTTCCTGGGACTTGTCCAAATGATCAGATTTTATCAAACATCCTGGGATGGCCAAGGGCCAAGTTAAACATTCTCAGATGGTTGGAATTACCAAACTGTAGCATTTTTGTACAGAAAGTCACCTCATAGCACATTGAGCTGAAGCTCCCATAAGAAAGATGGTAAAACCAGGCCAAGAGAGGTTCATGGCCTTCCTTGAGGCCACACAGCAAGCAGTGAGTTGATCTGGTTTCTCTCTGGGCACCCAGCAGGTCTGAGGTCTGATGCTGCTGAGCTTGAGAAGGGCCACGGCTCTTCTCAGAGCCAGAGAAGATGCTGAGCATGATCCCGCTCCCAGAGCCCCACAGCTGGGGGTCTGCAGTGGGCATCACTGCATGTTGCATGGGAGAGCAGTCAAGGAAGGCTCATGGGGGTTAAACCCTGACACCAGTCTCTGCACAGGACCTGAAGGTGATCCTGGATCCTCTTGGGGCTTCATTCTCACCTGTTAGAAGAGGTGACTTATGTGGATATTGGCTCTCAGTGAACCTCAAGCTTGACTAAGCAACTGGAAGCACCCAGCAGCAGCTGCCATCACTGCCCTGGAGGTTGCGTTTCACCGGTCTGCGTCATCACCAGCATCTGTATGCATGTAAAAAGGTTCACACATGACTTGAATCCATAGCCAGGACCGGCGAGTTGATGTGGTGTGATGGTCAATCTTGATTGTCAGCTCAGTGTGATCTGGAGTCATCTATGGGACAGATCTCTGGGCGTGTCTTTTCAGAATTTTCCAAATGAAGTTGATGGAGGTAGGGAATGCACCCTAAATGTGATTGATTGGTATCCTTCCGTGGGCGGAAGCCCAGGCTGCGTGAAAAGGAGAAATGTTGATGAGCGTCAGCCTGCATCTCTCAGCTTCCTGACTATGAACACTATGTGAAGATCTGCCTTAGGCTCCTGTTGCCACGCCTTCCCTGTCTGGATGGACGGCGTTCCCCCAGCTATAAGCCAAAGCAAACCTCCCTCCCTCCTATTGCTTGCTTGTCAGGCAGGGTTGCAACAGTAAGGAAAGCAGCTAACACAAAGGCCTTCCCTTGGAATGTGTATCATGTCCTCATCCCGGAACCTGTGACTAGTCCTCTATTTGGAAAGAGCTTCTCACAGGTGTTTTGCTAAGTATTTTAGAAGGAAGAAAGCACTCTGCATTGTTTGATGGCCTCTTCATTCAGAGACGTGCGTGCGTGCGTGTATGTGTGTGTGTGTGTGTGTGTGTGTGTGAGCTGACAGTAGGAGGCAGCGTGATAGTGTAAGCAGACTTGGAGAGACGTGTCCACATGCTTGAGAACATCCTCACACACGCAAGGAGCTGAAAGGAGCAAGGGGATGGACTGGCTTCTGCAGCCCCAAGAGGTGGCACAGCACAGAACTGCTGACGTCATGCTTTGGGACATCCGCCTTCTAGAAGTGGGAGAAGACAGATTTGTGTTGTTCCTGGCCCTTTGGTCACCTGATCTGAGTTTTTCAACAGCCAAATGCAGCTATGGATGAGTTTAATTTAGACGTGGGTGAGGAATCTCTAGACCTCTCTGCATTCCCAGGTCGAGTGGAGGTCTGCCGCTTGGTGGCTGGAGCTCAGTGTGACTGTCCTGGGCATGAATATATTGACTTCAGGGGAGGGGTCTTAGAAGGCCTTTATTCTTAGCTGGCTACTTTAAACAGCTATTTAATTTCTGTTTTTTTTTACCACAACACTAAATTTTATTTTGGTATACAAAAAAACAGTTCCTGCAAAATACGCTTCAATGTCAAAAATGTTAATAGTGGTTTTTGTTATTTTTAGAAGTTGTACTTAAAGAGGTTCATCTTGATTTCATTTGGATGAGTAGCCTAATTAATTTTCTCAATGAGTTTACATTATAGAATATTTCGGAAAAGGTAAAGACATAGGCCGATAGAGATTTTAAATGACATAAGTTAGCCTTTCACCTTCTCTTTCGAATGACATTCAAGTGAACTCTTCAAACAATTTGCTGAAAAATTCTGCAAGAACACAGTATCTAATATCGTGCTTGGCTATTCATTGGTAATATAGTAAATACTGAATGAAGTTAATTGTTTTTGGCTTCTCTGAGAAATACTATAATAGAGCAAAATAATGCCAATCGTGTATTTTTCTTTTCCTAAAGTAATATGTATCTCCCCCCCCCCCAAACAAGTACTCTAAATCCAGGTTTGTACCTATAGTCTCCAAGACAGGCAGGGCTGGGGAGACAGAAAAATCCCAAGCAAGAGGGTGGCTGGCCACCTCTGAGAGGCTCCTCGACAGCCCTGAAGATTCTAAGAACCATTTGATGTTCTTTCCTCGATTGTATTTCTGCTGAAGCAGTCTAAGATAGAGTCCATTATTTCTATCAAGAATCCTAACGCGTGCACCACTTCTCGAAAGGAAGCATATACTAGCCATAAATGCCGCTCCGGGAGACACTCGTCAAACTCATCACAGGCATGCATCACTGTGAGTGAGTCGGGTCTGAACTCCTGCAAAAGGGTGCTGGTTGTATGAAGACATGGGGACACGGTCACAGGAGTTGTGGTTGCTGCCTGGGGCGGACATGGCGGGTGAGGATGTTTTTCTAGGCCTTCTCTGCTACTGACCCTCTGCTGGAGTTTAAGGTAGCTGGAAGAATAATGCCAGAGCATTTTCACTGGATCACACAGGAACTTGAGTTTAGAATGCTACTCAGTTTAATATTACTGACTCCTAGGAGACCTGCTCTGTCCCACCATGGAAGGTTTACCCTTGGCAATGAGAGCCCGCAGGCTCACTGTGGCTGGGGATATCTCGGTTGGCAGAGTGCTTCCCTGGCATGTATGAAGCTCCAGGCCCAATCCCAGTACCATACAAAGTGGGCTTGGTGGTGTACACCTGTAATCCCAGCCCTTAGGGGATCCGAAGTTCAGGATCGACCTTGGCTACATGCTAGGTTCAAGGCCAGCCTGGGATACATGAGTCTCTTTCAGAAAAGGAAAAGAAACAATCAAACAACGACAAAAACAAAGGGTGTGGTAAATTACCTGGAACAGTTGCTCCCTACTCCAACTCCACACATTGCCTTTGTGTGAACTACCTGTCCGCCACACAACCAGAGAGCAAGAGAGTGACAGTGGCAACTTAGAGCTGGAATGCCAGTACTGACTCAGGCTACGTGGGCGAGTCTCTGAGCCTGCTTTTCTTTCTTCCACGTATGTTCGTTGTATGCAGTCTTCTCTGTGCTCTCATAAGGGCTGATTGTTGAGCTCTGAAAAGTCTTGGGGAAACGCTACATTGATAATCCTAAACCATAACTTCTGGGAGTGTAGAGTAAAGTCTTCCCGCCAGTCTGGTTCCAGAGCCGCATCAGTCCCAAATGAACACACAGGAGGCTATATTAATTATGAAGCTGTTGGCCTTTTGCTTGGTTTCTTATTGGCTAGCTCTGACTTAAGTATTTACCCCATAAATGTTAATCTAAGTATTTCTCTTACTGGAGAAAGGGTTCCGACCTTTTACTCCTCTGGAGACTACATTGTGACCCCTGTGTTTCTCTTTCCCAGAATCCTCCTCAACTCCTAGTCCCACCTATCTTGCTTCCCTATTGGCCAACAGTGCTTTATTGACATATACACAGGACTTCCCCATCATGGGAGAAACTGAGTTAGCCTTCAGCCAGTGGGCACATTTCTGACCATTGTAGGACGTACACCCTCAGGGGTGTGGTTCTGCTGCAAAACACCCTGTTCAATATTACTCCCTGTTCATTACCATTGAACTCACAGCCAGCAGTGCTGTATGTAACTCACACCTGAACGAAGCTCATCTTACGTATGCATATTTGCTACGAGACCCATCACAGGTCCTTGAACACATCAGCGCTGTTCTTGAAGACCATTTAAACAGTGACCTCACCAGTAAAAATTCGTAAAAATGTAAAACAAACAAACAAACCCCCAAACATGCTACTAAACAAATCACAAAAGGATTCTTGAGCTGTAGTAAGAAGGCAGCATGGCCTTGATTGACCTTGACTGGGCTTGTGTTAATTGGGTGACTCTTAAGCTTTCACGGTTCTGTCACTGACTGCAGGTGACTATAAACGCACTCGGGGTGTTGATTTGGGGGTTACAGTAAGTCTGAGAGAGCAGGCGTTTTTGTAGACATGAAATCTGTGAGTTGTGAGTATCAGCTCTTTATCAATACAAACATACAGTGCTAACTCCTGCCATCCGGGGCTCAGTGGGACTACATTTACTGGTGAGTACATGGTCAGCCAGAAGGTATTCTACAAACCCAGGTCACGGTGGTGGGCATATCAGCTCAGAGGTCTCTGCTCAGTCCAAGGGTGGCTTCTCTCAGTTAGTCTTGAACTAGGGCAAAATGTTCACTGCAGAAACATACTTGAGCAGGTTTGTGAGCCGCCAGGATGGGGTGGAAGGGAGGTCACCAGGAAAGCTTGCTGGCTTCACTAGGCTGCTCTTCTTGTCCCTGTTGAGTGGTAGTGCCAGGATCTACATCCAGGATCTTTCATGCTAGAGTTAGTGGCTTTCGTCCCCCAAATATAGGAAGATTGTGCTTATTTTACTTTAGAAAGCATTCATGGAGTGTGTGTTTTGTGAGCTGTGACTGTTGTAACCCCTCTCAAATTTCCCTCCCACCTCTATTCCTCCTCCCTCACAGGGACTTCCACATCCAGGGTTTCATTGTTGTCTTCATTTTTTATTGGTTTTTAATTTTGAGTTTCACTGGCTTTAACCAGGATCATCTGTATGACTGTGGGTCTAGAATGGTATTGACTGTGTCGGGCCCAGAAGTCAGCATCTCACAGTCCTTTGTTGTGGCTTTCTCATTCTTTCTACTTTTTTTCCAGAATGTTCCTTGAGCCTCTGAGATGATGCTTGACTGTCACTCATTCTCAGCACTGTGAGCAGCCATGTGTCTCTGCATTCATCACCATTTGTTGCAAAGAGAGGGCCACTGGAGTGCAGGAAGCCTTAAGGAAGGGATGATAGCATCACACAGCAGATATGAAAACAGAGTGGTAGTTCTGAGGGTGGAAAGTTTAAGCAGGGATTCGTATAGGGGGCAGGGGAGATGAGGGAGAGAGAGTTAACTAAAACTAAGCTGTATGAAAAAGCCATATGGAAACTCGCTGCTTTGTAAGTTAATTAAAAATGTAAGTTTTTTAAAAAAGAGAGTTAGAAGGAAGATATTCTGCATATCTAGATAAGGCTGTTCCTGAAGGCTAAGGATTACTAAACAAAATCTCTAGTGCCAAGTATGGAACACGTTATGAGATGTTGGTTGGAGAGACACCAGAGGACCACAAAAACAATACAGGCTTTTGGTAGCCTACCAGAACCAGTTGACAAGACCTCATTGCTAAGGACTCTGGATGCCTTGATTGTAAGCTGCAGTTGTAGTTGAACTGGGGACTTCATTGTTTCTGGTGAGTTTTTACAGTTCCTGGGGGTGTTGCAGAGCCTGCTGTGGACAAAAAAGCATCAGTGCTCTTATGCAGTTGTGAGTAAACCCTTTGGTCTACAATACCAACCTTCTAGGCAGGGTGTGCCCGCTGGCGCAATGTTATGTGGATAACCAACTCTGACTGTAAACCCAGTCAAAAACCCGTACCCGAGAAGTTCTTAGGCCATAGAGGTGAAGCTAAAATATTGCTGCTTAGCTAAATTGTCATGGTGTAGAGGGGCCTTATAAATGTTTATGTTTACACCCATAGATAAATGCCACTCCAAGACTTAATCAGGGAAGCTAAAGTTAACTGCATTGCCACAGAAACAAAAATCCATCACTTTCAAGTTCTCAAAGAGAACTCACAGACTCTTTGGAATATATCTCCATCTCCTCTGCCCTAGTTAGAGAAGCATTGCTTTATCGCTGCTCCTCTGAAGTGTGCTGAAGGTTGTGAGGCCCTTTTCCTGCTCCCATTGCGTGACTTTTCCTGGGGAGACAAGAACAAACATTTATTCATCCCAGACAGGCACTAGTAGCAGACCAAAGGAGTGATTGCACCCAAGACTATCTCAGCAAACAAGTGAGTTTACGGGTGTTACACACAGGAACATGGGCAAGGGGCTCCTACAAGGAGGCAAGTCAAAAGCAGCTGCATCACCGAAATGTCACTCCAGCATGGGTGAGGACTTGTGGGAGCTACATCCCTATTGCTTCCCGCCGTCCTTGCAAGCGGCTCAGTCAGTGGGGACTCTCGTGCAGACAGCTTGGTTGTTGCTGCTTACATAACCTTGTGGAAAAGTGTGAATCTTGTACATTTCAGGAACTTCTTGCGAGCTCTTTACTTCTTTAATCCTGCAAACTTTGCTGATTCTCTGAACTAAGGACTATTCCTTTTGGGTGAATGCGTCAACGGAGTGGACGTGCAACACATTATAACCTGTCTCGGTGCCTAGAAGATGACACTGTGACATTCTGTCTGCAAGAATGAACAAGATGGTAGCTGCATGGGATGAAGGCTTTTTGTGCGGGCATTGTGTAATGGAGAAAATGATGGCACACTGAGCATCAGGGATGGAGACAGGGACCAGAAGTTGACCAGGCATGAATAAAGGGGCTCCTGCAATGGAGACGCCCTGATAGCCTCACTTCCCCATCTACTACCCATAAGTTTATGACGATTTGGGGTTTACATAAAGATTTGAGCTCCCACAACTACTAACAGGTGGAAGTCATTCACTCCACAGCTACCCAACACCTACTCTACTCCAGGCTCTGCACATGCATCAGGACACACCGAAATAGGGATGAGGGCTCAGTCCCACACCATTTTCTTCTCGAAATCATCTGTGACTATGGTGGGTAATGCGTCTTTAGAGCTTGGTTGGCTGATTTTGCAGATTCAAATCCCTGTGCTATTTGCTTAACCATTCTATGTCGTAGTTTCCTAATATGTAAAAATGGAGACAGTCATAGTACTTACCCTATGAAATTGATGTGTAATTAAACTAAATGGCTTAATGCTGGTAGAGATTTTGACCAACTCCTGCCATGCAATAAGCACTTATTAGCTTAGTGAGCCACTCCTAGATGACAGAGTTGGGGAGAAGGGACCGAATGTTCTTGGGGGCTTATACGACAGGAGTGTGAAGCGTTACT